TTCTTTGCTGACTGCTTTGTTTCAGCCACAGAGCATTCATTCTGCCAAAATTCAGAACTGTTCAGGATAATCTTCCTCACAACTTAGGGCAGCTCCTTCTTTGGAACCCACTTTCTCTAGCTAATAAGAACCGCTAGAGGACCCTAGTCAGAATTTACAATTTTCATTTTATTAGAGACATATGGGAACTGCTGAAAAAAAAAAAGCTGTTCAGAAGAAAATCAAGCTATGCAGGAAGATAAAGAAACATGGCTCTTTAAACCAGACCCAAAAAACATTTTTGGACTTGAGATCAAGGTATTGGGATCTGGCAAACTGGCAGGTAGACCTCAGCAGTAGCTAGAAAGCAGCTTGCAGCACCATCCCACCGAGAGCTCTCAGCCCCTGAACAGCATTACTTTGTATAGGCAAATCTTTTCTCGACAGAGGACAATTTGGGACCAGAATTTTGCTGGGCACCTTCTGACAGAGAAAAAGAAGTGGAATGATCATGCCGCATTTGTATATATTTTGAGTATATCCCATTTCACTCTTCCTCTCCTCTTTATATGAGAACTGCAGTCCATGAAATACCTAACACAAACTTGGCAGGCACAAGAGGTCCTACAGAAGAGCCTTGAAGCTGCCCATATGGATGAATCCCCCAGTTAGCACTTCATGTCAATGAGCACATGAGTGGGGAGAACCTCCCACCGGAGCATGTAAGCCTCCTCTTGGTTGGCCTTTTGCACTGAATCACCTTTTAAGCAAAGCCTTAAATCCCTTCTTTTTATTCTCTCTCTTTTATTCTAGTTAGCTGGAGTAAAGTTAATTCGCCCCCCGCAATGCACCAAGGATAAGTGTGCAACCACCAAACAGAATGAACCAGCAATCTAGGCATTGTGTCTAGCATCTGTAAATTTCCTTGATATTGTATGCCATATGCTAAATAAATGAATTTGTTCTCTCTCTCTCTCTCTCCCTCTCTCTGGCTATAGATAACTATGAACAAATGTGAACAAAGATGAACACAACTAAAAATATAAATGATGCACCTCCACTAGGCTTTCATATTGCATTCTTATACTTTGTAATTGGCAGAGGATGTCTCATTCTGTGAGGCGGGAATGAGGGAAGGGAGACAGAGAATGCAGCTAGTCTTCCCCAGAGTCCAGCCCTCTCAACCTCCATCCACACACAATGGTAACAACCTGGGTCAACAGGACAAGTGTATCACTCACATGTGGTTTAATCCTGTCATGGAGCAGAGAGAGGGGCAACTTGCTTTGTTTCATGACCACTCGATAAGGATCCTTCATCACCGTCTTCATCTCCTCCTGGAATCTCTGGAGACAGGACTGTTTGATCACACGTGTGTTTCCTACATAAAGAGGATGTTCCAATTGTTGGTTCCTGATATAGCTTACACTGACAAGATGCAGGGAGCAACACAGCGCTTGTATCAGCAGCCCTCTGATTCAACTTTGAGATTAATCAAATCCAAGCACAGAAACCACCAACCACCACCCCCCCGCAACTATCCAATCAAAGCAAGCTTACCAAACCATTTAATGTTGGGCTCCACGCGGGCCACGGTGCCTGGCGCCACCGTGGACTGGAACTCAAGTGGTCGGACCAGTTTCCCATAATTATTCCTGTATAAAGTAAAGCAACACGGGAGCCCTTATAGTAATTGGTTTGCTTATAATATACAGCTTAAACCTGTAGTTCTGTAACAAGAGGCCCCTTCAGATGAAAAAAATCCTGGCCCTCTCTGGGTAAGCCGATAGAACTCAATGATGCACCAGCAAAGGTATTATGGAAGCAGATGCGCCAATCCTCTAACTTGTATTCTCTGTGTGCTAAGATGAATGCCTTTAAAATTGTATGCATTTTCAAAATGGGTGGATTACAAAAAGATTAAATAAATTAAATCCTACCCCTTAAGAAGACAAGTTGGACCATCTCCCTCCACTCTTCTTGTTTACAGGAAAGGGCAAATAAATTCTCCTTGGTCAGCAATCAGGTGGAAGGACAACTGGTTGCAGAAAGGGAGGCCTCCCTGTGTAATGCTGATACTTTTCCACAGGTTGAGCCAAGTGATGGAGCACAGTCTCTGAGAAACACATTGCTAAGAGATTTCATATTTGCAGTTGGCCCGCTTCCGTAGGCAAGGATGCTTCCATTTAGCAACTGACTGGTTTTCATATGGAGGAAAGAAGCTCCAATACTGGGGAAAATATTCATATAGCTGAGGAAAAACAAGCTAGCTGTACCTCAAACTAATGCCTTCCTGGAAAACGATCATTCTGCCACATAATAACATCAATGTAAAGATTTGCTAACTTTTGCTAACCATGTCCAGGAAGCCAAAGAACTAGAGCTTATGAGGTACCAAATCAATAAGGGGGTGATTGTGTAAGTCCCCCCTTAAAGATTTTTGATCTGAGATGGATGGTGCCTACAAAGGGGGAGCAGGTGGGATGGACTACAGTGAAACTGTCGTTTCTCAGGAAGGAAGGAGCATATTGTAAAGGGGGGTGGGGTGGGGGGTGGAGAGAAGAAGCAACACAGCCCAGAACTGGATAGGAGACAGAGGAAGAGAATCATTGCCACTCCCTAGAATCAACCAGGGTGGGGATCGTAAAAGTTTAGTCTGGCAAAAATTCTGGCAAATGGTGTGAGCAGATGAAGCACTAGACTTTGGCTGGATTATTGTTCTTGAGCTGGGCCGGACATGGTCAGAAGGTTGGAAAATGAACGCTTTTGATGTGACTCGGAATCCTGCGCAAAGAAGTCTTAAGCAACTGTGAAGAAAAAAAAGGCTGCAAGGAACTGGCCTCTGAAACTGCTTTCAGGGGAAATGGGGAGAAGACTAGTTCCTTTCAAGATCTTCCCAGAAACTGATACGACCGTGTCCAGAGCCAGTTCCTGATTTATCTAAGTTCAGGTTGGTGAACCAGGTAAAGCTACAAGAGAATATTTCTCAGCAAACAAACAGAATAAAAACGATACAAACAATGCAGAAAAGGTCACCAGTGGAACAATCTGGATGGAATTCTGAAGGAACATACATATCTTGAAGAACTACTGTCTTAACCCAATGGGGATTGGTTTGCCCCACTCACTCCACAGGAGGGGAATGCTGCGGATCCTATCAGCCAAGAACTTCCAGCTCTTGGGGTCCAGAAGAGCCTTTTCTGTCATGGGTCCTGCCCTTTGGAAACATCATGTCCCTCAATTTGAGACCTGTACCCCCACTTTTGGCCTTCCAAAAGAGCCTGAAGACCTGGCTCTGATGGTTCCTCTGTGGCCCTAAGGGGGCATTCCATACTGGAAGTTATTAATGGACTCGGAAGGAGATCCCACCCGCACCCTGTTGCATTCTAACATTTAATTTCTACTAATTTTAATATTTAATGTGTTAGTGTTTCTATCTTTGCTTTTATGTTGTAAGCCACCCAGAGTCACCTGACACTGAAATGGGAGGCATATAAGTTCAGTAAATATTCATCAGTAAAGGTAGTCGACAACTCATGGCTGCAATAGGATCTGGAATTTTGATCACTAAGCAAATCAGTCATAAAGAAAGGAATTGTTTAGTGACTACAATCCTAGCATCCTGAAAGATCCATCTCATCCTGGGAACCCTTTTTTTTGAACTATTACTATCTGGAGGATAATAATAAAAACAAGGACAAACAGGCTGAAAACCAGCTTCTATCCCAGGGCAGGAGCTCTGTTGAATTCTACTGTAGAATGCAATATTATTGCGAGACCAGGGGTTTTCAATTCAATGTGTGGAGTGTGAAGGATGCGTGTTTGTGTTTATTTTCATGGTCACGATGTGCACTGAAGACGGTGTTTGATTTCGCTGTACGAGGTGCAATGACAATAAAGTAAACTAAACCGAGGCTGCCCGGTCTTTCCACACTCACCGGTGCTCCCGCTGTCGATACATGTTGAGGCGCCGGATGGTGGCGCGGTCCCTCATGTTGTGGCCTCCGGCGCCGGCCGGCCGATCTGCGGGGACAAAGCGGAGGTTCAGCTCCCGTCGCCGGGACAAACCCCCCGCCCGCCCGCCCGCCCGCCTAACTGCGGCTCCGCTTACCCGGGTTGGTGCTGGAGCGCGACGGGTTGAGGCTGGCGCGGGGGCGGCGGCCCTGGAAGCGCGGCTTCCCCATGGCGGCGGGTGAGGCAGCTGTGGCTCAGGCGCGCGAGGGCGGCCGGCAACGACTTCCGGAAGAGCCCAGACGCACTTCCGGAAGAGCCTAGACGCACTTCCGGAAGAGCCTAGACGCACTTCCGGAAGAGCCTAGACGCGCTTCCGGCTAACGGGAGTCACGCTCCCTCCGGTTGCATGACGTCACACCGTGTCACGCAATGGGGCTGTTACTTAGGCCAGGGGTTTCCAACCTTGTCCGCTTTTAAGACCTGCGGACTTCAACTCCCAGAGTTCCTCAGCCAGCAAAGCTGGCTGAGGAACTCTGGGAGTTGAAGTCCGCAAGTCTTAAAAGCGGACAAGGTTGGAGACCCCTGAAGGCGGTTGGGAAGCATCGGCTGCAGATCAAAAAAGTTGAAAACTTTTGTCCTATCAGATTGGGTAGACCTCCTCCTCCGCCCTCCCCCTCCATTCCCGAATCCAATCCTTCTCGAATTCCTTGCTTGCCTTCTTGCTTTGGACTCTCCGCTGCAGATCTTCGGAAAGGGGGAAATCTGACAGGCAAGGGAGCGTAGCTCCCCAAACTTGGCCCCTTTAAGACTGGTGGACTTCAACCCCCAGAATTCTCCAGCCAGCATAGCTGATAAAAGAGTATATGATCATTAGGTTGGAAGGGACCTTGGAGGTCCTCTAGTCCAACCCCTGTTCAAGCCAGGGACCCTATACCAGGGGTCTCCAAACTTGGCCACTTCAACTCCCAGAATTCTCCAGCCGGAGTTGAAGCCCACAAGTCTTAAAGGGGCCGAGTTTGGGGACCCCTGGTGTAGGGTCTATGGCTTGAACAGGGGTTGGACTAGAGGACCTCCAAGGTCCCTTCCAACCCTATGATCATTATACTCTTTATCAGCTGTGCTGACTGGAGAATTCTGGGGGTTGAAGTCCACCAGTCTTAAAGTTGCCCCTGCCTTAATCTAACCTCTGCTTAGGAAATGTCCGTTTGAGCACAGGGTTTTCCCGCTCCAGCATTATCGCAAGAAAGGACGAACCTCCCTGCACATTTCAACTTCGCATTCGCCTCTGCACAGAAGGGAATCCCTCCTTGGAGCTAGGCGTTCTTTAAAGTCGTCTTCCCTACACGTGTATGTCCGTGCATGTCCCGTGTCGCGCATGCACACCTTTTGCACAGTGCTTTTGACCGGGCATGTTATAAAACAAAACAGGCACAAATTCCTGCAAAAAATGAGCAGAAACTGGCAGGTCGCGGTAAAAGGGGGAAAAAAAAAAGCCGCACCTCACCACCATTTTTTAAAATGTTTTTCCAAATTTTATTGTATGTACTTTATTAATTTATTTGATTCTTTTTGTTAGTTTTTATTGTTTTTTATTTTTATTTTTTATTTTAAATATGGTTTTACATTATGTAAGCCGCCTCGACTCGCCATGGGCGAATAGGCGGCAATATAAAATAAATAAATAAATGAATGAATGAATGAATAAAATAAATAAAATAAATAAAGCAAGCAAGCAGCTCTAAGGTCACCTTGCACGGGGCGATTATTTCCTTAAACTATGGTTTACGGGATGAAGTGTAAGTTTGCAAGCAATCCTGTCCAGGTCTGCAGGGCACGTTATTCCCGAAGCGCAGCCTCTGGGTTGGATGCAGCGCAGGTTGCCTTCCTCCCTCCCGGCTCTGGGCTCGGACCCGCTGGAAGGAGGAGAAACGGTATGACTTTTTCGGCCTTGGCTCTGGGTTTGGCGACGGGGTCTCGGAGAGGGTCCTGGAGCGCCTGCAGCCTTTTCCGGGACTCCGGCCGGCCGGGGAGGCGCGCGGCCCCGGGGAGCGTGGGCGGTGGAGGGGGGGTAGCGCCCAGATCAAGCCGTCCGGAGAGTGCGATTTGGCACTTGCGCTGCAACCGCCCGTTTTGCAAGCCCGTAAATCTCCAGCCAAACCGCCGCATAATCTCTTGGAGAAGAAACCCTTGGCGCAACGGAGTAAACTAAGAGACTCTCTCACTGTTGGCCGGAGCTGGTGCAGCCCCAAAAAGCAAAGCAAAGTGACCCAGGTTTCTTCTTCATAAATTGCTATAAGTTTCAAACGCTCCTCAAAGGTGTAGTTTTAAAAAGGCAACACGATTCTGCACAACTTAAATTGTGGGAATGAACCCCATAATTCTTTGGTTTTGGAAGTGTCTTGGGCGGGGTTGAACCGCGAATCGCTTCAGCTTTGCAAAATGTACTTTTTCTCAAGTCCCTGATGGGCAGAATGTTCATTTTTATAGTGGCAATCCTCCCTAATAAGGAGATTTGCAATTTAACCCATGTCTCTAAAACTTTTTTGACTTGCTGTAATAATTTATTATAATTATTTTCCATTAGGGTTTTGCATTGAGCCATCAACCAAATTCCAATTTAACTTTTTTTACTATTTGTAATCCCATTGTCCTTTCCAATTTTAATTTTTGTTTTTCTGTTAAATTTTTAGTTATTAATTTCGTTTTTTCCCTGCTGATTTTAAGTCCTGCAACTTTCCCAAATTGATCTAACATTTTGAATAGTTCTTGACCTGTTTCAATTGGTTCCTCTATGAAAAAACCCATATCATCCGCAAATGACTGGAATTTATATTCTTCTTTCTTAATTTTAGTCCTTTTATTCCTGGATTCTGTCTAATTCATGTAAGCAATGTTTCCAAAGATAATATGAAGAGCAGGGGAGACAAGGAATAATAAAATTATAAAATCAGCAACATATAAAGAAAATGCCTATAAAATGTTTTATAGATGGCATCTCTCACCCTCGAGAATAGCAGAAATGTCTCCTAACATGAATCCAAATTGCTGGAAATGTAAAAAGAAATATGGAACATTCTTTCACATGTGGTGGCCCTGCACTGAAGCCCAAAGATACTGGCACAGAATAAAAAAATGGTTAGAGGAAATAACGGCGGAGCAAATTGAATTAAAACCAGAATTATTCTTACTGGGGATATTTAATAGACAAATCTCTAAAAAAAGTCAAATATATAATATTGCACATTCTTACTGCAGCCAGAATAACCTTTGCACAGTGTTGGAAACAAGCAGATATTCCAACAGAGGAAATGGTCATTCAGAAAATAACAGCCTGTGCAGAGATGGATAAGTTAACCTTAGCACTTAAAAGAAAAAGAAACTTCAGAATATTATAGAAGCTGGGAATGCTGGTATGACTGGATAGAACAAAAATAGAAAATATATTAGTAAACAACGTAAAATGTAAAAGAGGTAGTAATTATATACTCGCAATAAGATGTATTTGTAAATATGTCACCAATATTGATAACGAACAAGGAACCATAGACTGTCGATACTAGAATTGCTAGGGTTTTTTAAATCATTTTTTCCTTTTCCTTTCTCTGTGTTGTGTATGTGTGTGTTTGATATTTTAGTTGTATAATCAATAAAGTTTGTTTAAAAAAAAAAGCCTCTGCTGGCCAAATAGGCCTGTTAATACCGGAAGTGACGAAACGGGCCATTCGGCCTGCAGAGGCTTTTTTCAAGCCTCTGGGAGGCCGAAAAAGGCCTCAAACCAGCCGAAAATCAGCTGTGAGGTGCGCGCATGCACAGTGAGGTAAGTTTGCTTGCAGCTCATGTGCTGGCACAAATGGCTCTCTGTAGCACGTGTGCCATAGGTTCACCATCACGGCCCTACCTAATAGAATTGAAGAAGCTTTAAGAAGCAATTTAAAAAAAACAAAAGAATATTGACGATAGAAAGACATGATTTACAGTTGGGGTGACATGCATTGATATGGTACGGGGAAAATAAATCACACAGATACTTCCAAAGGCATTACATTAGAAACGCTCTGTTGACAGTATGAGAAAAAAAATCAAACAGAACCACTATATGAAAACCCCGATCTGGTTATCCATGATAGAAGCGTTAATATGTTTTAGATCCCAATAAGATTGTAAGATACAAAGACATACTTAATGAACAGGGGGGTCTGAAATCTAAACAGGAATTTTTAAAAAAGGGAATTGATTTGGACTGCTGGCCACTTATCTAAATGCAAACGAGTTCCAAGTAGGATTTAGAAATGTATGGATTCTATAAGGAACCCCAAGAACTGAACAAAATAGTTTTAGGAACAGATGAAAAACTAATAAAGAAAATGTATAATTACCTATTAAATTTTTAAATGAAAGAAGAATATGTAAAAGAAATGATGATTGTACGGGCAAAAAAATTTGGGTACACTATAGAATTAGATAGTTGGCAAAAATTGTGGGAGAGAAATTACAAATTAACATTATCAACAGCGTACAAAGAAAACCTATGCAAAATGTTTTACAGATGGCACTTGCCACCAGCAAGATTGGCAAAAATGTTTCCAAATGTTACCAGAATGTTGGAAGTGCAAACGGGTCAGGATCCTACTACCATATATGGTGGACCTGTCCAGGGGCGAAAAAATATTGCTTGAAGATAAAGAATTGGCTAGAAGAGATGACAGAACAAATAGAAACTATTCTTATTAGGAATAACATTGGGGAAACGTAATAAAAGATTAATATATTTAATCATACACATAATAACTGCAGCTAGAATCATATACTCACAAAATTGGAAAAGTGAAAGTACACCCACAGATGAGGAAGTAATTAAAAAAATACTAGAATGTGCCGAATTGGACAGACTAACCATGGAACTTAAGGACAAAGAGGAAAAAGAATATTTCCTAACATGGGATGTATTGTATAATTGGATAAATAATAGATGCAGAGATTAGTATTTAACTCCTCTTTTAACTCATTTAACAATGAAAGAAGATTAACAAAACAAACAAATACAGATATATTGAAATAACTAAGAATAAACAATGTAAGCAATACCACTATTGGATTGTATGTGAATATAGTTTAAAATGCACTAAATGATAAATTTAATAGCGTATTATGGCATAAATAAGAAAATAATAGTTATAATCACAATGTGTTTTATTATGTAGTTAAAAGAGATTATACTTTATGATAGTTTTAATTAGGATATATACCATGATGTAAAAAAAATGACTTGATATAACCAGTACATATTACATTGTAAAATTGGAACTGTGATGAATATTAAGGAAAAATGCACAATACAAATATTTAAAAAAATAATTGAAGAAGCTTCTTGGATGGAAAGTTTTCTTGAATCTTCAAGAAAAATTAAGAATCTAGTTGTCTTTAGAGGGGGAAAAAGCACCTTTGTCCACATTCTAAAATAATGGTTTTCATATATTTGATTGGTTCTCCCAGAAATGCAGACATGGCCTTTGACATTGTTCCTGTTCCTTTCACAATTACAAAAGCACACTGCATTGATATCTGCATATTGATTGAATGCGGTGATGCATGATCACATATCCAACCTGCAGAATTGTGTTTGTCTGAAGGGTGAATTTCAGCACTTGTGTGACCACAGAAATGAGTGGGATCCCCCTTGTACTTCCACTGAGAAGGCTGGCAGAGGTTCTGCTAACCTGTGCATCCTCCCAATGTAGAGGAGGAGGAGTTGGAGGAGGAGTATAATTTATCAATCAGTCAGCTGAACATATTAAAGAAGGAGCATAAGCCACCATCGTTTTGATTTTTTGAAATCTCATTATTAGACTTAATATGGCCACCCACTCCAGTGGACTCAACCTGCTTTGCTGTTAGTCACAGCAGTTGAATTGTGCTGGCATTCTGATAAATATTGTGCATCCCCACAAAGTCTCATATCTAATGTGCAGAGAATGGTAATTGCTGCAAAAATATGAAAAGAATATTAATAAAAAATTCTGCTAGGGATTCTTAATTTGTCATTTCCTGGATAAGAAATAATCAGAAAAAAGGATTCTTCCAACTTTATGGATAAGCATTTCTTAGATTTTAAAAAATGTATTTTGTGAGAAGATACAGAGTTACAATTATTGTAATTTATTTAATGGACACCTATAATGTTTTACAGCAACTGCCATCTTATGGTGATTCAAAATCTGTGATACTGATTAAAAATTGAGGTGACAAACTCAAAAGAGAAACATGACAATAATTTCCCTCTGTTGTAGAACTCTACTTGAAGACACTTAGACATATACAGCAAAATCCAGCCTAGTACTGAAGAAGAAATTGGACTACTGAAGATATCTACTGGTCCTCATGCATTCCAATAGCTGTTTTACCCCTCTCTTCTCCTTTACTGGCCCTGCTGTGAAGAGACTCTTGGGCTGGAAGCAAGGAGATAAGGAGGAAAAGTGGGCTGAAATGGCAGTGGATTCCTTGGTGAAGAAGCTGATGAAGAAAAGGGGAGCCTTGCAGGAACTGGAGAGAGCCCTCAGCTGTCCTGGGCAGCCCAGCAAGTGTGTAACCATCCCCCACTCCTTGGACGGAAGGATGCAGGTCTTCCACCGCAAAGGATACCCGCATGTCATCTACTGCCGTGTATGGCGCTGGCCAAACCTGCAGTCCCAGCATGAATTGAAACCTCTCGCCTGCTGTGAATTCCCCTTTGGTTCTAAGCAAAAGGACGTCTGCATCAACCCTTACCATTATCAAAGGATAGAAGCCCCAGGTGATTCAGCCAGCTGCGTGTTTAGGAAAGGACAGCCCTGTCTTGGTTGCGTGTATGCTATCTGCAAAAAAGGAAGCTACACAGAAGCTTTGATTGGAAGAAAGAGATCAAAGATCCAACAGGCAATCTTTTAGTTAGGGTTAGGTCACCAAGACCCAGAGAAGAAAAAACAGAAGGGATTCATTCCTTACTAATAGGAATGGGCGTGTCTTGACAACAGGGTTGCAATTCACTCCTGGGACAGTTCATTGTTACTGCAAGTACATCGGCAATGTGCTGGCAATGGTAATAACTTGCCCCCAATAATCCCAAGTTAGATTGTCTTTCTCTCCTGTTTGGCTGCTATGATTTGACTTTTTGTAGGCTATTTATTTTACATTTTATGACAGTGAGTTTTCAGTATCATGGATGAAATGGCAGAAAATACTGCAGCAATAATAAGTGATATATTGATATTAAAATTAATGTCCACTTAGACAATGGATTATTTACCCTCAATCAGATGATTTTGCAAAGCATTTTTTTAAATAACTGCAGGTGAATTTTAATGATGCAAACAAGAATTTGTTCAACATATTGTTCAACTGCAGCTTAGCCCAAGTGAATTCTACCATATTTAACCTGCTTGTTTGATCATGTAAATTGCCCTGCTATCTGCCAGGTATGAAGGTTAAAAAACAAAAAGTTGTGTGCTTTTTAAAACCCATTATGCCACACTCCGACCATTGTGAACTAGCAAAGCAGATACTGAAAATCTTGTAATTGGGTGCCCTTGGCTGGTGCCTCTCTCTGTGTTTTATGGTTGTCCAAGGTGCTTGAAATAGTAAACTTCCTTTCGCTACCTTCTTAGGATGGACTGAATGTTATGCAGGAAAAATACAATTGCCATCACCAACAGAGAACTCTAGATTAGATGATAAGAGCAATAATTCAGCATTATTTGATCCTTAACTTTATTGCCTTTGGCAGTTAAGTCATTCTTGATTTAGGGTGAGTGCTTGGGCAAGTCCCTGCAGATTCTTTAACTCTTTACCTTGCCACCATTTGCCCACATTATATATGCCTGCCTGCCTGTCTATCATCTATCTGTCTGTCCATCATCCATCCATCATCTGTCATTGTCATCAATCATGTTTATCTATCTATCTCTATCACTCTATCTCACCTATCTATTCTATCATCTACCATCTCAATCATCAATCTTTTTATCACCTAATTAACAATCCATCCATCTTTTCCCTCCCTCCCCTCTCTCTCCATATATATATGTATGTATGTATGATAGACTTGATGCATATATACACACACATGCATCATTTCATCTATCTAATCAATATTTAATCTGTCTGTCATCTCCACCATTTCTATTTATCTAGCATTGTAATCTCTCTTTTGCTCTCATCTATCTTCTATCTAACTTATATATTTATAATCTATCTATATCTAATCTATAAGTATGCCTGACTCCAGAGAGCTTTTTTCTACTTTCAAAACTTCTATTGTAGTGTTGCCTCCAGTACTGGTTCCAAGACAGAGTGAATACAACCCACAATTCAGCCTCCTTACCACATTCCAAAATGTGTCTCTTGAGAATGAGCAGCAGATATCCCACAGTGCAACTCTTCCTGATCCTCACCCTGCAAAGCAGCCTCCCTGCACCCTTTTCTCAGCATCCTACAATATGTACACTCCACCAACAAGCAGCATGGGCTACTCAGTGACCTCAGGAAGTGCAATTGCCCCCAAAAGGCCTTCTGAACTCACAGGTATGCAAAACGGTACCTGAACACTCAGTGGGACTGAATCTATTGCAACTCTCTTTAGAAAATGCAGAGTTTGGCACCATTAAACTGCAAGAACCAACATGATGAGCCGTGATGGCGCAGTGGTTAGAATGCAGTATTGCAGGCTTCTTCTGCTGACTGCCACCTGACTGCAATTTGGCAGTTCGAATCTTACCAGGCTCAAGGTTGACTCAGCCTTCCATCCTTCTGAGGTCAGTAAAATGAGGACCCAGATTGTTGGGGGCAATAGGCTGATACTCTAAACCACTTAGAGACTGTTGTAAAGCGCTGTGAAGCGGTATATAAGTCTCAGTGCTATTGCTATTCAGTGCCTACCTACAAGTTCATGCAATTTTGGTAGTAGCAGCTGTATTTTGAGAATTTGGGTTGGAGAATGTGATGTCTCCTGTGGATGATGGCTCATCTACGTCTTCCTCAGAGGCCTCAAGAGGGAGAATGAGAGCATTTCTGGGACGTCTGGTATTGTTGACCCTGAGCTGCTGGCAGAGCATGCCTCGGCTGATGAGGAAGAGGGGGAGGAGCTGCTGGCCTTGGTGGATGCGAGAGTGTGCAGGGCAGAGAGGTGGCGATCTGCCAGATTGATGAGGCCCTGCTGGGCTTACTGGGCTGCACTGGGAGGGGCTATTTAGCACAGCAGGCAGAGGGAGGCATGGCTGGAAGCAAAGTGTGGGTCGTTGGTTGTGTTTCCGGGACTCTGCAACTTGTGGATGTAATTCGGTTGCAGAGAGCGTTTATATTTGTGTTCGGAGCAGCCGGTTATCTGTCAGGTGGACTAATTGGCCATTGCCTAGAAAGTTAATCTGGAGCTTGTTCCTGGCTGGCTTTGCTGAAAACAGCCCCTGAATTCCTGGCTCGGACAATTCCTGTGACTTCTCCTTGCAAACCCTAAAACCGGACCACTGGACTTGTTGACAAACCTCAGTGGAGGCCCTGGACCCCTGAGGGGATTTTGGCTGTTTATTTTTGGAACCTACTCAGGCAAAACCTTTATTTCTAAGACTGTTTATGGTTTGGCTGTAAGTTTGTTTTGCTTTTGGTTATCTACTTGGTCGCAAGCCAATTACTGTGCTAAGCTTGCAGCTGGGGGTTAACTGAAAATCTGAAACAGAACTATTGGGGGAACAGACTGAATAAAGCTCTCTACACGAAGCCTGACGTGTGGGTGAGTGGGGGCAGTACAGAGAATGGCATGTTATTTATTTATATTACAGATTTTTAATAGCTCCATCAGCTTTGAAGCTTCTGGACAGGTTGCAACACATTAGCATTATAGAAGCAACAATAGCAAAAAAGAATAATTGATGAAAGTGTTAAACCAGAGCAAGCAGATGGGTTCAGCTTTCTTAGGCACAGAAGTGCTGGTTGACTTTGGGCCACTTGCTCAGCCCAATCTTTAACTCACAGGATTATTTTTGTGGTATGAAAAAATAGTATGTGTGCTTTCCTGAACTCTTGTTGCAAAATCGGGGTATACATTAAATTGATTTATTCATACAATCAAGGCAAACATTGATACAATGCTGTTCTTAGAAATTAAAAAAAAAAACGAAAAGAAAATCTGGTCTCTTTGGGCTTTGTACGTATGACAAGTCATTGGCAAGCATCTGATTGAATGCAATTTGTTTACTAAATATCTATGGTCTCTGCGATCATTTCTTTTTATTTATATAGGCTGGCCATGAAATAGCTTTCTCTTTTCAGCTGCCACATCTGTTCCTCCTCCTAATGTCAAAGAGATGCCACAAAAGCCCAATGCACAGAAAGTCCCAGGCAGTTTATCAACACCGCCATTGCCCAGTGGAGGTAAAGCCAGAGAACCTGAAGGTACGTCGAGACTTGTATTTTTCCCCTAGAGAAAGATCTGCTAGTGAGCCCATGAATGGTTGAATTTTCCTCCAAAAGAGCTCTTAGCCAAAATAGTTCTACTTAATAGACTGAAATCAGAATAGGCTTAATTTGGTTTGATTGTTGCTAGTGTTGTTGAAAATAGTGGCTTCATTTGATAACAAGAAAGGCCATCATTCCGAATTTAGTCACACCCTAGATTGAAATAGGAACATTATAGGATGAGGAAGGAGTTTTAGATAGGTTCACTGCCTTCAGTTACTTATAAAAGTAGGATAAAAGTAAATAAAATAATAAACAATATATTTTATTGCTATGATGGAATTTACTTTTTAAAGTAACACACTCAGTTGATTACACTAATTGACACAACACACTAATTTTTATTGCATTATTTTTCATTGTCCTTTCTAGTTGTTCTCAACTTACGACCATTCATTTAACAACTGAAAAAAATAATTTATGACTGGTCCATGCACTTATGACCATTGTAGCATCCCCATGGTCCCATATTAGAATTTGGGCACTTGCTACCAGCATGTATCTATGACAGTTGCACCATCCAGGGGTCCCATGAGCACCATTTGCAACTTTCCTAGGGGGCTTCTGACAAATAAGGGAAGCCAGATTTGCTTAACAACTGAGTGGTTCACTCAACAACTTGAGTGATTTGCTTAACAAATCACTGGGAGGGGGGTGGGGGGTGGGGGGTGGGGGGAAAGGTTATAAATCTTGAGTTAGGTGTGACTCATTAATTACCATATTGCTTAGCAATGAAACTTTCAGTCCCAGTTGTGCTCATAAATCAAGGACTACCTGTATATCTCTTTTCTGTTCTGGCAATGCCAGCTCTTTAAATGTGTATGTGAAGAGAGTATCTGGATATGAAAATGAATCACATTGTTATTATTGTGTTTCTATCTACATACACCTGTGAAACCTGCTTCCAGATGCCCAACCTGTGAGCTATGAGGAACCAGTTCAATGGTGCTCAATTGCCTATTACGAACTCAATAAGAGAGTTGGAGAAACTTTTCAGGCCTTTTCTCGAAGTATACTAATAGATGGCTTTACAGATCCGTCAAACAAGGACCGCTTCTGCCTTGGATTGCTCTCTAATATTAACAGGAATTCTTCCATAGAAAACACCCGGAACCACATCAGAAAAGGTAATTGCAGAGAAACACTGCTGGGAAAATGGCTCAGTTCAAAACTTGACGTCAATACCTGGGAAAATCCTGGGAAAGATAATCAAGCAGTAGATTTATAAATATCTAGAAAGGAATAAGGCAATCACTAGAAGCCAGCATATGTTTTTTAAAAACAGATCATGCCAAACAAGCCTTTTGGCTGGCTGCCTTTGATAAAGTGAATGAATCGGTCGCTGTCTTTGTGGGCTGGGTGGTTCTGCATTCCTTAGTGTGACCTTGGAATGGCCAGCGGCTATTCCGATGCTTAGTTTCAATTCTTCTCATGCTAAACACCCCCACTCCCACCCTGCAGCTCTCCCACCCGGTTAAGCATGACAGGCTGAAAGTAGACAACGCATAGTGTAGCAGGATGTCAGTCCTGACAGTAATCCTGAAAAAGACTGCCACACATCAAAAAATGGTGTCTTTAGCATTGGAAATGCCGAGTCTGCTTATACTGCCAGCTGGTTCTGTCCATCATGCAACAATACCCCAATCTTAATGTATCATGAAGTAGTTTAGAACACGAGTCTTTTTTGCTTTGATCTGTGTTGAAGATGACATCCTTCTTGGTCCCTCTTCTCTCCTGAAGGTGTCCACCTGTATTATGTGGGAGGAGAGGTCTTTGTTGAGTGTTTAAGCGACTGCAGCATTTTTGTCCAGAGCTGGAATGCCAATCATGAGTGCGGCTTCCACCCGAGCACCGTCTGCAAAATCCCTAGTGGGTACAGCCTGAAGATTTTCAACAACCTGCTCTTTGCCCAACTGCTTTCCCAGGCAATTAACTATGGTTTCGAGGCAGTCTCTGAGCTCACCAAGATGTGCTTTATCCGGATGAGCTTTGTTAAAGTAAGAACTTTCTTCGTCTTGCATTATAAAGCTGAAAAAGTGGGACTGGCCCCTTTGTTTCATTTTAAAAGGATGAGATGCCCCAAGTTTTCTTCATATTTTGCCATAAACAAGTAAGAAGTGAAAAATTATCACAACTCTGTGAAATTTGTGGCACTGTCTTACCACTAGTGACTTCAATTACGATTGATCTCTAAACAAGAGGGAATAAAAATTTCTTTAAATTTAAATTTATGTCCAAGATTATTCCAAATGAATCAATCATACATGCCCCGGAGAACCTGGGCTGCTCCCTCGGCCAGCCGTCCAGTTCCAGTAATGGCAATTGTCAGCTGGCCTTTCATTGGTCTTGTTGGCCACAGAATATGAATTTTACCTTTCTCAGGCCCTTCTCAAGAGCGCTCTTCCAACTGTTTTAGTTACGACTATGCTTTATTTCTATATTATCCAATATTTCTCAAGAGGGTGTGCAAAATTAGAACAGGCCTCAGTCTAAAATCCATATCCATGCTCCTTGAACTCCTTGGGACTCTCAGAACTAGACCTGAGCTAAAATCATTTCTAAAGGCTGCAGTTCTGCACCTCCTTTCTTGGGAGTGAGACCTAAGCTCAGACAAATTTTCTCCAAATAACCAAGGTTAGGAATGTTGCTGATGGTTTCATAGATGTTATAAATAATTACCGTATTTTTCGGTCTGGACCATAACACACATTCCCTTTAGAGGAGGAAAGCAAGAAAAGAAAAATCTGCCTCTGTCTCCCAGCATCCACCCGGTATTCATCTGGCTAGCGTCCTTGCAGAAAACAGCCTGGTCAGCTTCAGCATGTTATTGCAGCCCCAGCACATGGCTCGTCAGGGCTCTGCTCCATTGCGCCCACCAGCAGCCAACTGGGGCTGAGCTACTGCTGCCGTGGCCCATTTGCCAAGGCCTGTTTTCCGCCCATTGGCAGCAAATGGGGCATGGTGATCGGTAGCAAACGGGCTGCAGCAAATGGGCTGCGGCAAACGGCGATCGGACGGTGGCACATGGGCCGCGGCGAACGGCTGAGCCGTGAGCAGGCCATGGCAAACAACTATATAACGAGACTTCACTTACATAATCACTACATCTTCAAAAAGTGGCATCATTTAAACAACAGCATTGTGTAGATTTGTGCAGGAAAAGAATGAATGACAATCAAGCCTACACGAGAGGGAGATGAAAAACCACGTAATGAACTGAAAGTCTGCCAGATGTAACTCCACATTAGACTCAGCTTGCTTAATTCTTCTTTGTTGAAGAATGCTGTATGAGTTGTTGAAGTAATACTTATGATGACATTTGCTCCAAGTCCACATGTTTTTATTAGATGCCCTGTCCACAATTTTATGACTTCTCGGTACTTCAAAATGCAAAGGAAAGGTAATGGGTATATTTGACTAAAATCAAAAAAGTATTTTTGAATAGAATGAAGAATGCAGCCATAGTCGTCTCATCCTTTGCCATTTGTTGGTCTCTTCTGTAGGGCTGGGGAGCAGGATACCATCGTCAGGCAATCACCAGCACCCCGTGTTGGGTGGAGATCCATCTTCACGGAGCTTTGAAATGGCTGGATCAGGTGCTGAGGGAAATGGGCTCTCCGGAGGCCCCCATCTCTTCCATCTCCTAAGAATCATCTCCAATACCTGGAGGACAAACATGGCTTCAGATACACGTGGGATGTTTGGGATATTTCTCCCTCCCTCTGTATACACTTATATATCTGATATTGTTAGTGTTTTTAATGCTGTTTTAACATTTAAGATGGTAGACTGTTGTGTTCTATTGATGACTTTATTCCTCCTGCTTATCCTCATTATTGATAATCATGAAGGAGGGTAGTTGTCATCTGCAATGATCGTGAGTGAAAGGTAGTTAATATATTGTTAATATGTTCTAACCTTTGCTTCGGTTTATAGCAATAAACAAATAACCTGTTAGGTTAATGTTAAATAATTACATCTTTTTTCTGTTAAAAATGTATGTCAACATTGTTTTGTTTTTTTTAAAAAAAGGTAAAGGGTCCATCTCCAAACATTATTTATTTATTTATAACATTTATATAGCTGCCCATCTTTCAGCAAACTCTCATAAAAACTAGAAAACACAAGCAGTTAAAACATTAAAAACAAATCACCTGGTGGCAATCCATGCTAACGTGCCATCATCTGATTGTCTCCCAGGGTTTAGGGGAAAAGTCAGGTCTTTGGAGCCTTACAGAAGGCTACACGGATGGACACCTGCTGAACTTCAGGGCACAGAATGTGTCAGTCTGTGCTCCCTTCAAAATCCAAGAAAGAAATACTCAGACTCCATGGGTTAGAGCAAAGTTATTCTTTTACTGGAGAATAAAGTGAAAGCTACAGATTTAATTCCGAATCTGAGAAATTAGCGCACAGATCACATATACAAAGGAATGGAAATGCTCCCACCCCCCAAAGTCCAAATGATTCTTCCAATTAAATCTTCTGAATATGATCATGTGGCCATCTCCAGGTGGTGATGAGGCTTCTGTCCATTGACCTTGACATATTTTGATAAAAGTTCGCAGTTGCGCAAAAGGGGATAGAAGCTAGCCAAGAAATGGAAAGTTAAAGACAGGAATCCCCCTCCCCTTGCTACCCACAGCAAAAGGAATGCAAAACACCGCCAGCTTTCTTCCCCTTCGAGTTCCCCGCTCCCTCCGTTGCTAATGACAGCCGAAAGAACTAGATTGGCATAGCAGCAAAGAAGATACAATAGTTAGGAGGCAGAATATATATATTATGGAAGATATCTTGAGGCTGACAGAATGTTTCATGAGCTAGGGACTGCCATGGAAAAGGCATATGCTTCCTAACTTCCCAGATGACAATATTTGGGGAATGGACCAGGAGCGTGCTTGCCCTATCTGACCTGGTAGGATAATAGTTGTCCTTCAGAAAAGGCGATCCTACCGAGAGCCTGGCCCTGTGCCATATGGGGCTTTGAAGGGGATGACCAGTACTTTGAATTGCTGGAAACTGGAAGCCACTGGAACACGTTCAACAGAGGTCACCTTCCTCACTGATCAGCCTTGTAGGGAACACCGCCCCCCCCCCCCCCCCCACCCCCGCCCTTCCCCCAACCCCGCGAGAAACCTCAGTCCCCCTCTTCACATTCCCCAAACAGCCCATTCACAAGGTGGTCCTGGCCACTCCAGATCTTTCCCACCAGGGAATCCAATTTGCTTTGGGGTCTCCACTCCACTGTAGACACCAGGGGGCCACAGTCTAAGATCTCAGATGAAGAGAAAAGGAGGCTCCAAGACAGAGGTGGGATTCAGCCGGTTCGGACCGGTTCA